TTTATTTAAACCTCCATGTGGACATTGTTTACGTAATTCTCTTGATGATCGGTAATTGTCCAATTACCGGAAAATATGCTTTCACACGTCGGGTGTTTTCCTTTCTTCTCGCGTTCTGTTATACATTTTTTTTTAATGTTCTACTTAATTATTTTATTATGAATATTCTTTACCACTTTCTTAGGCTATTTCTCAATCACTTTTTTAGATCAATAACTATTCTGTAATTAAAAGCAGCTTTTAAAGATGAGAATCTAATTAGCTAAAAAATATGAAATCTAATTTTCAATTTACTGATAGATTACTTAGTAAACAATGATTTGCCACTTTCTTTTTCTATTATGTCTTATCGACATCAGTTTAAACAAAAATCAAACCTGAAGTACTGTTCTACTCTTGAATACAGGGATGTTAACTTTAGAGAACAATTTCTTTTTTTTTTACTCTTCGAAGTGTGACAAGGCAGATGCTGTATAATGTGCATAGAAAAATCAATCTTTTTATAATAAGCCTGTCGCCTGCAGGATCGAAGGTTGTTAAACCAGACTATTATGATGCACTTCTTAGCAATTTATCATACCTGTCTGTTCACGTTTTTTGAGCTGCGCTCCTGAAATGGCGCTCGCAGTTTTAGAACAACTTTTTATCGAATCAACTCTTTGTTGTGTGCGTCATTTGGGTTGGGTGAGAGAGAGCAAGTTATTAAAATCGTTTTTTTTTTGTGTTTGAGAAGCTTTTAAATAACACGTAGTCATGTTAAGGCATTCAAAACATTAATGGTGAATATGAAACAGCTAAACAAATAAACACTTTTATAAATTTAAAATACCTCTCAAAACGAAGAGAAAACCATTCCTCGTAACGCACATTACTCTTGAAATATACTTTAAAAAGAGAAAATGTGTAGGCCTATTCTTGTTAAAAATGTGAAATATTTTGCAGTACAACACTATAAACGCACTTTACACAACGTGACATAATCAACATGTCACTAATAGATACGTTGTTTCTGCCACGTAATTGATGCCAAATTAAAACTTGTTGGATGTAATGAGTCTCAGGGATAACTAGTGATGTTAACTTTTCCCATCCCTCCTTTTACACTGCTATTTTTAGACAATAACCTAGATCTATATCAAATTAATGAAGTTGTGTATTTCTTAAAAACATTATGCACGAAATATTCAAATTGTCATTCCAGTGGTAAAATGAGACTTAGAACTAAATGTTACATTTTTATAGTTTGTTTGTTGGAGGATCTTATAGATTCTATTTTCGTCATTTCAATTGTATTGTTTAAAATAAATCAAAATGGGTAAAGAAAATAAAGTAAGCAACAAAATAGCCGGTGACACAATTAGAAAACGATATATATATATATATATATATATATATATATATATATATATATATATATATATATATATATATATATATATATATATATATATATATATATATATATATATATGTATATATATATATATATATATATATGTATATATATGTATATATATGTATATATATATATATATATATATATATATATATATATATATATATGACTTACAACTTGTATATATATAAAATGAGAGTGAGATAGATACTGTACATATTGATCACATAGGGTTTTCGAGAGAGCTCTTCTGTGTGTCTAATTTAGGCGCGTTAACAAACCTTTATTGATCTTCTGCACGCGTTTGACCTTGAAACCGTTGATTGTCGTCCAAAATGTTTCCGAAGCACTCACCATCCCATCTTTCTTTCCCGCACGTGATATGCATTTTTCTTTTTTTATTCTTATTTTTCTTTCTCGTTTACTATTGCATTGTTTTCAAATGCAATATCAAAATTTAAGTTGAAAGAAAAATATATTTATTTAACGGTTATCTGGTAACAAGTATTATGACGTTTGAAAAAATATTTTTTATTTTTTTACTCATTTGTCTTACGTTCGGTAATGAGATGTAAAAACATTGTAAATCATTTATCAATCTTTTGAATCACTATGCCAAAAATAGGGTTACGCTTTTTGCCATCATGTTTATTTTTGTTCGTAAGGTAACGATTTGCAGAATAATTGACTGAAACTCTCGGTGTGTATATATGTGTGTATATATGTATATATATATATATATATATATATATATATATATATATATATATATATATATATATATATATATATATATATATATACATATACATGTATATATATATAAAGGCTTTTTGTATACATGTATATATCAGCAAACCGTAGCTCTAGAATCAAAGCTAATATTGTGTATAATTGCTTTTGTCTTTGTGTATTTCTATCATAAAAAATGCCATATTAATCATGGTAATTTCTGCCCTCATTAGGCAGTGGCATTTGGATAACATTTCATACATCAAACTATCACTGTTTTTGACATTTATATAGAAACGTGCCTACGTTTATAGTAAAAACAAAAAGCATTAATATTGTTCATGCGATTGTATTAGTTCTCTGTCAGAGGTTATAGGAATCCACGGAAAACACGTTTAATCTCCTACTTGTATGAAACGAGACATACTTCTAAATTTGTTTTACTCACCATAAATGATTACGATGTATCAGATTCTGCCTAGAGACACATTAGCATTTTGGTAGCTGTTGCAGACCGACAATAAGTAGCTACCGTAAAATTTAGCTGTTTCAATTTAATCCAATTGTTGCGCTAAGTATCACCTCGGCGAATAAAAAATTGCCATCCATTATTTGTGTATACTCATTAACAAAAGACAAATGTACATAGTTGAAAGATAAATACTAAACACAATTTTTTTAAAGTAAAAATAAAAACATTTTAGCTTCATTACGTTATTAAATGTTTCATACAAGTGACTACGTGTATGTATGAGTACGTGTATGCTGCAAATTCTTCGTAAACTTAATATACTACTTTTTTTTTTAATGTCGCAAAGTCTTCATACAACTAACCATTCTGCAGGTTAATTTATGTTGTAGAGTATTCATAAACTGACTATACTAAGTTATTTTATATTGCTAATTCTCCATACTATACGTGGTCCTGTATGTGGCATATGCTTCATACAACTAACTATACTTATACTAAGTTCGTATTTTACTGAAAGACACAGGTTCATAGAAATATTACTTAATTAATAAGACCCCATTCAATTTTAAACATGAGTGACTTTTTCTCGCATGACCCACCAATAAGCGCCCCTAACCTAAGAATAACATTTTATTTTCTCACAAACGTATTGATCCACGGATGCTGAACCTTGATATGGTAATGTACTTTTATGCCACAGCTGATTCCTTCCTCAGCTCCGAGTTTTGGCGTTTCTCTCGTGAGATTCTTATCTCTGGATGTTTCCATCAGAAACACATTACAGGTTCCAATACCCTTGTGTCGTAATCTTCATGTAAAAGGCACGTGATTTTTTCCCCCTTCATACTGACTACGGTCTGATGTTTTACAACGCGTGGATTCTATGATTATTGCAACACGTTCCTTTATATATAAAAACTGTCGTCGTGTTGGCCAGATAAAACTTGAACTATGTAGCCAAAACTGTATTGTTTAGAAGCTTACCGCAGGAACACAATGTTTATAGATAAAAACCATTTAACTTAGGTTAAAAAATCTAAAACTAAAAGTTTAAATGTATATGAATATACGTAGTATAAATGTCTCGTGTTTCCGCTATGTATATTTTATCTTTCAAACTAAAGATATTGCACACATTTGTGGTGAACTATGCTGAAGTAAGATCCTTGTCATATAATTAACCAAGCCACACATAATGCGCAACTTTAATTTTTAATTCAGTAATTCGATTATGTTTCAAAGCAAGTTTTAATGCAATCGTCAGCCATATTTCTGTCTTGTACTCTTAAGCCTCTGTCTGTTTTTAAATTAAATCTGATAAGTTTACCTCGAGAGTTGCAATCATATCTCTAGATCATTCTCCTTTGACATCCTAGCATCCGTGTACGTAATGTAAACATGTTTTTGTTGGTCTCGTGGTTTAATGTACGTTATTATCTTAGTCTACATCAGGTAGACCAGGTAATGAACTAATTTCAATCCTCGGTTTCAATTACCGCGTAAACAAACAAAAAATAAAGCTTATTACGGATGGCAACGTTAGAAAAGGAATAGCCGAAAGCAGACGACATGTTTTTAAACTTGAATGATTAAAAATTGTGACAATAGTTTTTTGATCATTCTTGAAGGTTATTTCATTCTTTTATGTGATGAATAACATCCTTCGATGTTTTGAATCTGACATGTCATATCGTTACAAATATTTTTAAAATACTACAAACGCTGTATTAATGTTGCCTTCTAATGTATCACTAAAATAATGTGAATAAATCCTATGCTGATCAAGGGATGTATGTTTTAGCAAGTAAACACGTACATTCGCCCTTATAAACAGGATCGTCTTACTGATTCTAACGAGCTTCCATTGTGATTATCTTGTTAGATCATGTTGTATTACGTGTGTGCATACTCATCACGTGATTATTGAGATATCTGCGATCATATACAAAGGAATGTTATTATATATGTCTTATTACCCTATATTGGTTGGCACAGTATCTTAGAACACGAAGTTATAATCACGAATACATCAAGGTAAACTATTATAAAGCACGACATTTTAGTAGTGTTTTTAGTGTGAATTCTCTGATATTTTTATACCTGCGGAACGCCTTGATGTTTCTTGTAACATAATGCTTTTATGTACTATTTTTAGCTCATCTGTCTTTAGATTCTTAAAAAATTCTCTTTAAAAAAGTATGTAACGGATAACCATCAACATAAAACGAAGTGGTTTCTTGAAACAGTGTATCAGTTATACCAAACACTGCCTCCTCTTCCTTCCTGCCTCCCACTCTCAACTCACATTACATATGTCGCCTATATCACGTAGCACAAAAACAGTTTTTATTATACATCTTACTAACGCCTTCTGTAATGTTCTATCACTTTATTTTTCAGAACGTTTCAACACGTATGTGACCCTTAAACTCCAAAATGTAAAATCTACAACCATCCAAGTCAAGGGTACCAACCCAAGTTGGGAACAAGACTTTCTTTTGTAAGTTTTTATTTTCCATGGCGTTTTGTTGTTACTCACTAAAGGTATTCTTTGTTATCTTACCTCAACAAACAAGTGAAATTAAACTTTATATCTAATTGATGTTGACTGGAACTGTATCCTGACATAAGTATGCAGGTGAAAATTAGCTATAACATTGATGTGTAAGGACGTCGCGGTCTAGCGCTTATAATCCAAAAATCACGAGTTGAGTACACGGACACGAGACGGCAGTCGACCCTCGATTAAAATGTACTGCCCCTCATGTCCAGACCAGGTGCTTCCAAGCACCGGAAGAGGAAGCAATGCCTGGCGGAAACCCTCGGGTATATAGACTGACATCATGGGTGTGAAAAATGCTCGGTTCTTCATCCTGTTGTACGTGTGTTTGTGTGTGTGTGTGTGAGAGAGAGAGAGAGAGAGAGAGAGAGAGAGAGAGAGAGAGAGAGAGAGAGATAGAGAGAGAAAGAATTGTATCTATTAGTACTAGCTTCAAAGAACTAAATGAAATTCCTAGATCTTAAAATTTATGTTTTCCCAAAAATCGAGAGCATTTCCTCTGTACTTCAGACAAGGTTATTAAAACATATTAAAGTCTTAACCTAGTGGTGTGATGTACGAGACATCTGATAAACTATTCCGTTAATAGCGTGTGCCCTATGTCTGGGCCTAACATCTTTCTCAATTATTAAGATTGATAATGATATGTTGTCCCGTCTACCTCAGTACAAAACCTAAGACATCTTTGTATTTAAAAAGACCTTTACTCTAACATATCACTGCTCGGTGCTCCGAGGTGAATTACCGTCTTTAATCATGTCATTTATTATGTATTGTTGGTGTCTGCTTGCTTTCAAGTTTATCTCACACACGCACACACTAACACTTTGGCACTTTATAAATGAGTACAGCATTAGTCTGGTGGGGAGGTGGATCAGGCACTTTTGGTTCTGAAAGAGTTGGTTACACAACGTGAAGTTACGGTTACACCCCCAGATCAACTTGGTGTGTATTACACTGTTGGTTGTGAAAGAGTTGGTTACACAACATGAAGTTACGGTTACACCCCTAGATCAAAGTCGTGTGGGTTTTCAAAAAGTTCATAAAGTCAGGCCTGGATGCATGGTTTCTATCTAGAAAATCTAGATGCAATCACCTACTGGTCACTTGTACCAGATAAAACCATCGACAGCTCTTGGCAACAGTGTCTTTGTAAAGTTGGTCAACGCGAGGGCGGACAACGAATCGCTTACGCTTTGAGGGCGATTGAAAATCGGGTGTAGGGGGAACTGCTTGGGTGACAATACCATTTAAAGATCTATAATAATAGTTGGTTTAACTTACCTTGACACTTTTCATAACATGTTATTTTTCTAGGTGGCTTTTATTGTATTAATTTTGTTGATGAGTCAAAGTTAACAAACCAGATAAATTACTGCACGGAATGCGTTAATGATTACTTTATGATGTGTTTTGACTTAAATTCGAATTGTATTTAATTTTCCAAAATCTTTCTACATTTGTTGCAGTAAAGTGTTTTCTACCTACTAGTAAAAAGATTTTTAAGTATAATTAATCTACCTCTATAATGTATACATAGTGCAAAACTTCTTATGTATTAGTGTCTTCATCCTTGCCTTTTTTTTTCAACTTTCAGTGGAACACAGGACATGAACAACATCCTTTCATGCTTTTTTTGTCCTTTGCCATTTTTTTCATTTCTTTTCAACTCTAGCAGTGTACATAAAAATACCTAACAAAATAATGGCCAGCCCTAAAGAAAGAAGCTTATAAATCTATATTTAAAAGTCCCTTGTTGAGTAAAGTGAAACTCATGACATCTCTACACTATCTTCGTCACCTTTTAAAACCCTGGGATAAAAAGTTGAATCCCCTAGCACCAAGGCCTGTCTTTCACGCTTCCTGGTTAGGAACCCCCGGGTCAGTCTGTTCCCCCCCCCCCCCCCTTCACTCGTGTAACTTCATATATTCAGGTCAATTTAATTACCCTACGCTTTGTTATCGGCTGACCCTTCGATCCCCGCCCCCTACTGATTGTCATCCAGGATTGAAAGGATAAAGCAGGACAACTACTCGTTATTACTTTAGAGTGGTTATTGTTATGGGCTTACAATCTCTCCCCCCCCCCAGTAGCTTCTGCTTTTAAAATTTGATAACTGGACGACCCGAGTTACCCGTCATCTGTCAGGAACACAACACTAAACAAGAATACTACCTACCTCCATTACGCAATTAACTCCACACCACACCCTGCAAAACCTCCTCACCACCGTCACCACCTTATCCTCCCACAAACACTACTGACGCCCTAAGTCAATACAGTTCTATTGTAAAAAGTGACTTTAACTTAGGATTAGCACATACTGACGCCCTAAGCCAATATAATTCTATTGTAAAAAGTGGCTTTAACTTAGGGTTAGCACATAAAAAAAACAACAACTCAACTCTCTATCCCTACCATCCGTGACCCCCATCCCTTCCCCATCGTTCCATCCAACCTCAAACACCCATTTCACCATAGACCATAGCAACATTATGTAGATTTAAGATCACGTCTTCAACCTTCTCTAACAGCCAGTGTACAACCAGGATAAAACATAGACCATAGCAACATTATGTAGATTTAAGATCACGTCTTCAACCTTCTCTAACAGCCAGTGTACAACCAGGATAAAACATAGACCATAGCAACATTATGTAGATTTAAGATCACGTCTTCAACCTTCTCTAACAGCCAGTGTACAGCTAGGATAAAACATAGACCATAGCAACACGTTCACATCATGTAGATTTAAGATCACGTCTTCAACCTTCTCTAACAGCCAGTGTACAACCAGGATAAAACATAGACCATAGCAACACGTTCACATCATGTAGATTTAAGATCACGTCTTCAACCTTCTCTAACAGCCAGTGTATAACCAGGATAAAACATAGACCATAGCAACACGTTCACATCATGTAGATTTAAGATCACGTCTTCAACCTTCTCTAACAGCCAGTGTATAACCAGGATAAAAAAACACATACAAGTAATCTCTCCCTGCAACCCACTCCTAAGCCAATGATATACATCTCAGACAATCGAGATAATGATGGTATGTACCCTTACTCGCCCGCTAGTTGTAGCTCAAGCCGGCTTGATAATTAAGGAATTAGTGAGATTTTTATTATAGTTAAGTTAGGGGGAGAAATCTAGCCCAACCCTTGGAGAATTTCTCTATATAATCCCCCGAACAGACGTATATAATTAATGTGTCCTGTGAACCCATCCTTTTCTCTTGTTCCATATAGATGACATTGTCGAAAGCACTGGTTTAAAGGGGAGGGGGGGGGGGAGGGGGAGGTCAAGTGGGATGCGTGTTACTTGTCTGTGTATAGACGTTAAGTCCGTAGTTTATGTAGAGATTTAAGAAATTACTAAATAAATAAAGTTTTTTAATAGCCCACATTGTTCAACAGATCAGACATTATGGTTGGTCATACACGCCAAAAGTTTAAACGGATTAAGGATATTCGCACGTCGTTACTTTGATCTATTTGACCAGCTTAACTGTCATGATTAAAATACAAGTGTTTGCTGAATTGTTATACTATAACTAGCACTGATTCTGAAGTGTTTATATGCAACTGAACAACACAAGTATTTAAAACTAAAAAGCGAATTATATTTACAAGTGCAGACAGAAGGGGAGAGCTGTGTATTTCAATTAGCTGACATTCTATCGATTATAATTTGTTTAAGAAAAACTGATCCGATTTCCAAAAAAAAAAATGTCAATTATCAGGGGAATATGTAATATGAACCGACGCGAACATCCCTTTTGTGTCAGGTTTGACTTATTTATGTCTTTAGGCTTCAGCTTTTTTAATTACTTGAATTTTTAAATGATTCTCATCCACTTTTATGTGCTGTGTGTGGGATTTGAGGATTTCTTTAAAAAGAAATGTAGTGCTAAAAGTTCTATACTACTATATAACAAAACATAAACCGCTCAGTTAAGACCCAACACTCTAAAGTGAAATCTAAGCTAGGATTCTCACCTGATACTTTGAAGCCCCTAAAAAAATTTTGTGTAGGCAACCGATTAAAGTGGTCAGAAACACAAGTATTAACTTAAAAGATTTTTTTTAAAAAAAGATTAATTTTCTCCATTAAATGGTTACATGGCCTGGCTTTTGGTCTGTTTTTATTTCAAATGTCATCCTAAAACATCCGTGTAATGTCTGAATTATTAATTTAATGAAGTTTTATGAACACAAAGTTTTCTTTTGTGTGCGAAAAACGATTCCTGAAATAAATTTTTAAAATGATTATTATTTTAGTCGGATGCGCTAATGGCTTGATTAGAAAAGCCACCTATGAAATTCACTATAAAACTGGTGGTTGTGTGCTGTTTTCACAGCTTTTGAAGGAACACACTAGATGGAAATGCCTATGCACACCGTTGTAAAATTAATAATTCTTTATTCCATCCCCGCTTCAAGCAAAAAACCCTACCTCTGTGTAAAATTACTCGGATTCAAAGCGTGTTCGGTCTTGCATGCGCGCCTTTTAGCTTTCATTAAACTTCAGTAAGTTAATCGTCGTTAACATCAAATTTTAATATCAACGCTTTTTGAGGCCGGTTCCCTAGAGATGCCTCCGTACAACGTGGACGCCTCAAGTTTCTGTTTTTTTCTATTGCTTTACGTTTCGGCTTTCAGTACCGCAAGAGGAGCAAGGACGTGGCATCGTAAAATTCCAGCGCCGTTAACGTCTTGTCTGGGTGGGGTTCTCTAGCGAGGGATGACATTAATTAGTTAGTGCTGGATAGAAAAATCGAGTATCCAATAAACAGAACCGTAAATTACATAGTTTATTATTTATTGAGAGTGTTTTTATAGAGCTGCGCCATTCAATTTAAGTCTCGCGACTTTTTAAAAATATCACCACTTGTTTGATTTAAGAGATGTTGTGTTGCTTGCTCTCTAGGCAT